TCAGGGCTGCGGCCCCGGCTCCCGGCGGTGTGCCTGTGCGCGAGCCAGGACGTGTGGCCGCCACCCGCCTACGGGAGGTCAGCCCTCCAAACCTCGGACCCCCCTCTTAACCAAGTCTGGGTCTGGGCCGGGGAGAGCCGGCGCTGGGGCTCGGACACCCCGGCAGTCCTTCGTCCTCCCTAGGCCCAGTGTCTGCGTTCCCAGCCCCAGGACCCAACCTAAAGCTCCTGGCCTCGCGGGGCTGTAGCTGAGACGTACTTCCCAGGGCAGACAGGTGTACTGCAGGGACCTGCAGAAAAGCGACAAATGTCATTTTTAAAAGGGCTGAAGAATTTTGTTTCGCTCATTACAGCCCCTTTCACCACTACCACGAGTCAGACAAGCTCTGTAGAGGTCTTGTTAGGGACGATGTCGAGGTCAGGGGCTTAGTTCCACCTGGACAGAACATTTAAGACTGGCAGCGTCAGGGGTGCATTGGAAATATCAGCTCTATACTTCCATGCTTTCCAGTGCTGGAATCAGACCTCTCACTGCTGTAATGCTCTTAGTAAAATGTTCTCTAATTTCCAGTGACAGGTGGGAGAAGGGTGGGCAAAGAATGACCAGGAGTTCTGTGTTAGATTCAAGGTGCCACTAAATCCATAGCTACCTCATTCTGTGTGCCAGCCACTCCTATTAGCATCATAATGGCTCGGAGGAAAGAGCAAGCCCAACTCATCTGGAAAAGCCAAATGCCTGGTAACTTTACAATGAACATTTGCTGGAAAGGCTCTACATTTGAGCCCTCAGCCCTCTGGGGATGCTTGAGGTGTCATTCCGCAACACCCGCTTGGGTGACAAAAAAAACATGCAGGAGACTGAGAATATACAGCACATTAAAGCTACACTGTTCACTGAGAATTTACAATGCTATCATATGCGTTTTATTTATTTATTTTTTTTTAAAGGGTTAGGGCTTTTTATTTTTATTTATTTTTATTTTTTAAACCCATGCATAGACAAAACACATTTAACACACTCCTTTCGAATGCACTCACCTCTAATGTTAAAAAAAAATTTTTTTTGCCATAATGTATATCTCTGTGGCTACATTTAATATTAACATTACATAAATTTGTGGACTTGAACTTCTGGATTCAGAAGCACAATTATAATGTAAATCTCTATCATACAGAGAATAATGACAGTTTGGATCTTGACATATAATACATATAAAGATTCATGCTAAACATCGGTGCTTACCACTGCACAGTACAGTTTTTCAAGAACAATAAACTTGCCTTCTTAATTTGTTAATATCCCAGTGTAAATTCTAAGTAGAAGTAGAAGACTCAATTGCAAATTCTCCTCCCCCCTCCCAAATAATTCTAACCCATTCATGTTTTATTCAGACTTACATAAATCATTTGCAGAACTCAGCCTGTCTAGTTTAGGATTTTGTGTGTAACAGCTTCCAATTCAGAAAAGAAAAACTTACAGAAATCAGATATTGTAAACAAAAGAAACAGCCAAGATAAAAAAAAACTATTATGCCACATTTCAAGTTCAAATGCATAATGATAGAATTTCCTATGCTGGAAACAATACTCACAAATAGCAACACTGAAATCCTTGACAACCAAAAAAGCTACTACCAAAAAGTCCTTGAAATATAAACTAACTCTGACTAACATAAAACAGCACAGGGCCCATATAATGTCCTATTAAACAGAGGTAATTGCTGCTAGGGGCCTGCAAATGCTTTTCTTTCTTAAGGGAATGGGTTTGTCAACTTGCTTTTGTTTATATGTAACAGAAGTTCTACATAGGCAAAAGCTTGGACCTTATTCCCAGAATCCAGCACAAAAGTAAATGTAAATTTCAGGTTGTAA